TGCAAATCCAAGAGGAATCTTTATACTGTAGGCAGGATCAATTGGAACTCTTGCTACTTGGGATAGCCTTTACTTTGGTAGAGTCAAGACTGCTTTAAGGTAAATGCATTATCAGAATTAAGAGAGGCCACACCACCATTTTAGATTAATACTGTAAATGAATGCCTGCAAAATGAGATCTTAAAGTTATGAGATCTTAAAAGTTATTCAGAAGTTACAGAATCTGAGCTAAAAAAATGTATCTAGCAGAACACTGCAAAACTTGCCCTGCAGTAAAATGCTGATTTGGAGAATGGCCCCTTTGGCCTGATTTATCTGTGCTAGCCTGTGAGTGTACCTTCCTGATATATCCTCCTCGATCCAACTCACTGGCTAGCACAGAGCTACATTAAATAAAAGGTAGCCCTGCCAATCAACCCCCCCCCCCCAATCTTCCTTTGTCAGTTCACTTCTGGGCTTGGCAGAAAATCACCAATCTCCAGACATAGAAGTCTTAGTTCAGGCTTCTTGCCTGGACTTGGCAAAGATTTATGGCCCATTTGGATTAGAATTTTTATGGCAGATAAGAAGGAATCCTCACTCATTACCCATTACAGTGCAAGTATATCAGAGAGGGCTATACGCAAACACACACACACAGCATCTTCCACTCATCATTGTGAACCAATGGGTTCTGGATAGGCAACTGAGCCTGGCACAGAATTGGGAGGGCAGCACCACAAAGACAGTTCCTCTGCATGTCTCTGTCCATCTTTAACTGCTAGTTGCTGCTCTTTACCTTCCAAGAGTCAGATAAAGCTTCTCTGAGAAGAAGTGACATGGGAGAACCTGCTCTTTGTCAAAACCAAAGGAAGCTGAAAATAACAGAAAGGAAAATCGGGTGAATATTAGAAGAAATTCCATGATGCTCTGTGGAACCCTGTTATGCTGAAGAAGAGGCTCTAGAGTAGATCACCAATAACATTTAAAGAACAAATTAAAGAAAAGGTGGTCGTTGTACGAAGCCCCAAACAAACAAATACAGTATACAGTTTAACAACATTTGCAGAATAGGCCATCAAATTGTTTATCTGAATATTGCTTGGGACTTTGAATTAAAATCTGAGACGCTCTGTGTTGATACTGTCAGCCCCCAACCTTTTGGGCATCAGAGACCAGTTCCATGGAGAAAGATTTTTCTGTGGACCCGAGGAGGCATAGTTTCACGTGCTGCCTGCAACCCATAGATGGGGCTTCACTTATTTGTGCAGCCTGGTTGCTGGCATGCTGGAGCCCAGTATCGGTCCATGGACCAGGGGGTTGGGAACCTCTGCAGTACAGAACCAGTACCCTCATTAAAGTGCATCTCTTAAATCTTTAAACTGGCAGAATGCTGTCCTGAATTTGCTGCTCTAACTGAGGGTAGGAAAAATACAAATGCAATAACAAAAAAAAAAAAAAAAACACCAGGTGATGGGTATGTGAAACACACACACACAATGGTAGAAGCATTGGAAAACTTATAGCCCGCCCCCCACCCCAATAGTGACAGAAGCACTATTCAATCAATAAATAGTTTTCAAAACCTGGTTCTCTTTCCTGGTTTAAACTGGGTTATGTATAGCACAGCACTAGTGCACGCTCAAAAAAGCATTAATTTTGTTTTTAAATAGGACCACCACTCTAGAAAGATAATCCCAAGTAAGAAACTGCCAACCTAAAATGGGCAACAGATCCTGCCCCTAACTGCAATGGTAACCACAATGATGAAGAATATTATATTGAATCCAAGGCCAAACTTGTGTCACAAGAAGAGGGGAACATTTTTCTGGACAACTAAAAAACAGGAACAGCTAGATGAGTAATTTCCTCAGCTGTGGAGGAGATGAAGAATCACCGAACTTGTCTCACTGCACAAAGTGTGTTGAAAGAACTGGAAAAACTGGCTTGATCAAGTATATTATGAAATTTGTCCTGCAAGTGTTAACAGTGAAAAGTGGTAGATTTCATTGAGATATGGGTTCAACTGTGCTCTGAATCATCTAGCAGAAGATTAAACGGTGCCCTTGTGAGCCTTCCAGAATGAGGATGTTGTTACAAGATACAATAAGGGAACCACAGGGAAAGATGTGGCATGATTTGTGGTTTATTTTATTTACTTGCATGTTTTCAGATTGTCCTTGACTACAGCTGGTTTTCACTGACCTGTTCTTAGCTAACCTGGAAGGTGTTACATGCAAATCAGTGGTGGGTTTCAAAAATTGTTCGAACCTACTCTGTGGGTGTGGCCTCCTTTGTGGGAGTGGCTTGCCACCCATGTGACCGGATATAAGATGCTGACAACACTTGTCAGAACCACCTTAAATTACCTCACACACAGCACTGACATGCATAAGAATATGATGTAAACTTGTTTTTTAAAAGGCATCTTTGGTTTGCGATAAAACAACTTCAACACACACAATGTTCTGATTCAGTAGATTTGACGAACCGGTTCTACCGAATAGGTGCGAACTGGTAGGAACCCACTTCTGCTCCACTGATTAATTTGTGCAGCAAAGAATGGAGAGATGAATTTAGAGAATTTATTGTGTTGATCCTCCTGAACTGATAGCCATCCACAAACTGCATAATTGCAGGTGGGTCTTTTTCTCAAGCAGTTCTCCCCAAAGTAACCCATTTAACTGGTTTAATTGTTGTTTGTAAAGTCCTTTTGGGATCAGGAAGTATTTTTCCCCTCTAGAATATTCATATCAGATAGTGATTCTCTTAATACAACATGCTAAATCTTGGTTATACTGTTTTACTGAATTCCCAAAGTACACACTTAAGTGCAGTCAGCAATCAACTAAAAGTTGATTGGGTTCAAGGATCCAGTGAAACACAAACTAGCAAAGCACCTTTTAGCCTTAGCATGCTCTATAAATCTAATCAAGTTGGGGGCAATAGATGGAGATACTTAGGAGGAACAAGAGAGAGAAAAGATATTTCATTTTACATTTGATTGTGTGAGAGACAGCTATAGCAAGATGATGGTTATGGGAATCAAATTATCATGTGAAAGAAAGTCTAGAGTTACTTCTTCACATAGTTTTTTCTTCCTCACAGCCTTATCATTATATTTGTGTGATCCTCCACCTTTATCTAATTCAATTTATTTCTGATATGGTTGCGGGGTATCTTTATGTTTGAAATTCTGAAACTCCAGAGAGCTTAGGGGTGGGGTAGGGTGCTGATCAATTGGTGGGAATTTTTGCTTGGTCTCATCTTCCAAACAGGGTTCTTACTGCCAGCAATATTGACTTTGGCTAATGAAAAATCTCATTTAAGTGCAATTTAAATGACAAAAGTACAAAAATAATTAGTGAGATTCAACATTTAGCCTGTATTTCTAATAAGGAACTTTGTTCCTATTGTTCTGTAGTTTCAGGCCAAGGACCTGCAGCTTAATCTCTAGGATGACTCTCTCAGTCCTTGACATCATCAAATATTGGATTGGCAAGCCATAATAATGCATGTTTGAGAATAGTTCTTGGAATTATCTACTAAGATTACTAAGAACCATCTCAAGAGGCCAATTTTAGCCACTACTTTAATTGGCAGCATCGCAAACAAGCCTTTATGAGAGCAAGGCTCCAGCTAAATTGCAACTAAAGAAGAGCACCAGGCCCTCAGTGAGATTCCAATAGTATTAACTCATAAGAATATATTGCTTTCTCTTTTATGTGAGTTGGGGAATGAGATATTGGGACTGGCTGTGGTTCAGGATGGGAATAGGTGAATGCCAGAGGTGGTATTCAGCGGGTTCTGACCAGTTGTAGAGAACTGGTAAATACCATCTCCGATTGACCCCACCTCCATCTCTTCTTTGCCTCCCGAGTCCCAGCTGATCAGGAGGGAATGGGGATTTTGCAGTAACCTTTCCCTAGGAGTGGGGTGGGAATGGATATTTTACAGTATCCTTCCCCTGCCACACCGACCAAGCCAAGCCACACCCACCAACCACGCCCACAGAACCTGTAGTAAAAATTTCTGAATCCCACCACTGGTGAATGCTGTTCTTTGCTCCTTTCTACTGCTCCACTGAATAATATTTCAAGGTCAGTGGTCATGAAGATGATCACACTTGACTTCAAAAAGCTTTATAGAGATGGGGAGGAGCAAGTGGCTTTGGCACATGAGACTGGGTCATCCTTCTCTGCCATCCAGGTTGTGTAACACTTTCAGAGCAATTCCAAAGAAAAACATTAGTTGGCTGCAGATCAGGACTTTTGCTAATGATATACTAGTTCATCATGCAATAGCAAGCCCAGATATTTTGATGTAACGTCATTGGAAAAGTGGCATCCCAGAATTAAGAGCTCCATTCTCACAGGTCCTACGTAAACATGAAGGTTTCCAGACTCCATCTGGTTCCAGTTACACCCTTGCATACACGGTCAGGAATTTGCAGATGGATATTGCTCTGCTGTAGAAAAACCTTTACGGGACTTACTGTAGCTAATCAGTGCCTCTCTTCCAATAATGTACCTGCAAGCCAGATGAACTCATGGATTCCTCTGCAGGTACAGACAGAGCTGGTGACTAATCATCACAGGCCTTTTGCCTTTAACCATCAGGGTTAAAGTTTATGACTAAAAATGGGCCTGTTTAAAAAAAAAGTAGAGGAAAGAAAACAAATCACCCTTGACCACCAAGGACTGCCTCTTCCTGACGGCCCCTGTTCACATAAATACAGGAAGTAGAAAAGAAAGATCATGCTCTTTTTCAGAGCGTTTGGGAGTCAATTGAAAGAGCGGCGAGGAAAAGCTTCCCTTTCTATTGTGCCGAATCCATCATCTGCAATTCTTCTTCTTTTTTAATCCAGGGTTGGGGTGGGGGGGGGAGAGCGGGGGCGGTCAAGAGGCGTGAAAGTTTTGACGGAAATGCCAAGGTATAACTTTCTCCACAAGGAAAACTTACAAGGATTCTGAAAGGAGAAGTTTCAGATTGTGGCTGCGATGATGAAAACATCGATGGGAAACCAGGGAAGCGGGTGAGTCCTGAAACTTTAATAGCGATACTTTCTTTACACCACCACCCCTCCAAAGGAAAGGTGCTTCTGTCTCCCCTCCCTAACCCTCCCCTCGGCCTCAGGCTGCCTGTTCAAGAATTTGTCTCTCTTGAATGAGCGCTGGCTGGTTTTATGTAGAGACGCCAGAAGTGCAACTTCCAAGATAACATTCACAGGCTTTTCTTCGTCGGAGTGCCGATTTAACACAACTGCAGTTGGGAGGAGGGAAGGGTGTGTGGAGAATTACAATGGGGAGGAAATGAAGGCGAAGGGAGGTGAAGGAGTTATTTTTATACCCTCATGGTTGATGTCTGGAATTAAAGCAAAACATACTCGTGAATCCAGAGGGAGGGGGAATACAAGCTTTATTTTTCCCATCATTTCACCAAAAGCAGCTGAAAAATGACACTTTTGTCTGTAACTTGGTGCCAATCTGTAGCCAACCTCTGCTTGGGATCCAAATGAAGTTTTCCCATTATTTTGGCCCTGCGTTGTCAGAAAAACTTTTCTGCACCCCAAGCTGCTATTACTTGGACTGAATAAAGAAGCATTACCAAAAAATATGGTCTAAATAGCTTACCACTGAATATACAGACTTTAAGACTGTGGACAAATATTACATATCCCATTGGTGTGGTCTAGGGTGAAGACAAATAAAGCTATGGCAAATTTTTGACTTTGGAAACAAATGCTCTTGATTTTATTTGTACCCCACCCAGAATTGCTTTGTGAAGGAGATGGGCAGTTCCTAAATTGGACATATATACATAAACACATGGTTCCACTTAATGTGGTAAGCTTTGGAGAAACCAGGGATGTTAAGTATTGGGAGAGGGATTCAGGTTGAATGGAGAAATGATGCTCATAATCTCAAGCTTATCAGCTAACCCTAATAAAAGCACTAATCACTAGCCTGTTTTTTACAAATGTTCCTAAATGTCTATGAGAGTCTTTTTACTAAGCTGAATGTATATACAAATCAATTAAATGGAATGGGCAAAACAAAGAATTTGTGCAACATATGTATACTTTCCAGCGCTAGTTGGAAAAGTTGATTTAAGTAAAAAAAAACAATAGTATGACTGTTCTAAAATACAGATATAACTTTTGCCTCCTGTGCTCCTTGGGGTTAGTGTATTAATACTGATTGTTTGGAGGGAAGGGTTTCAAGCAGATGATTCAGCTTTTGGGGGGGGGCGGTTTCAGGGAGATTATTCAACTGATATATACGTTCCTTATAACACAACTTGGTTTATGTGCTTATTAGAAGGTTATCCCCAGTGGAAAGGCGTTTCCTATAATATTAACCATAAAACAAAGGATATTTAGTCTGAATATGAAAAAGAACTTTGAGATGGTGAAAGTCATTAGCATCAAGTTATGGACTTCTCCTCTGTATGTTTCTGAACAGAAAATAGATAGCCATTCTAGCAATGAATTGGACTTAGTTGCAGACTTATTTCGATTCCCTTTACTTTCTGTGAGTCCATGAAATTCTAGTTTTGGCAAGTACTAGAAGCTACTGTCTGCATCTGAAATACTTAATGTTTGGACACATTTAGAACATGGAGAGCATATTGTTGGCAGCCGTGACTGGGTGGGCTTCACAAAGTTTTGTCAATGCTGGGCATGACCAGTCACAAAACAGATGCCAAACTTCAAAGATGCCCCTGAGCATTGAATGCAATCCTTCTTTCTCTTGGCGGGTGGGTTCATTTGAAACAAACCATATCTTCATTTCCTATTAATGCCTGAAATCTTTCAGCTTGCCATTCATTTTTTAGTTAAAGATTGTTTTAAAAGATGTAGATAATTGGTGTTACATACTGATAAACAGTATGGTAGTTTCCACCAAGGTCCTCTGATCCGATGGGAAAATACTCAAAGGTGATTGGTTAAGACGTCCCTATAAAAGGGCTGCCAGACAGTCTTTGTTGGATTGTACATAGTTTTGACTTATAAAGAGCTGTTGTTACTGTTAGCCTGAGTCTGCCTCATCCATTCACCCGATCTAACAATTGGCATCAGAAAGTTTAATAGATGCAAAGTGAAAAGTTAGTGGATGTATTGCTGCTTATGAGCCCTATATTGCTTGCTCCTTCTCTGCCTGTATATTCAAAGTCAGAAATCCTAAGGCTCCAACATCTTAGAATAACAATACCTTAGAAAAACAGCATAAACAAAATTAGCTTATATGTAGGCAAATCGCATTACTTATATTTCTTTCTACATTGCTTTATGCACAGGCTAATTGATTGTTAATTACTAGCAAATGCAATGTTTCTTATTGCTGTGCAAATATATTGTATAGCAGCTTCTGAAAAGAAGAGAGGACTTGCTGGTAGAAGAATGGAAGCTGTAAGTGAGCAGACCACAATCTCTCTTGAATTTATAAGGCAGATTTTCCAACTTCTCAGAGATGTGTTTACAATAAATTGAAATGTGAAATCCACATGGCAACTGGATTCTATGAAGTAATTAAGTCCACAAACAGCTCAAGAAACTATAGCTTTGGTGAGCAAAACTGAACTGATAAAGAGAAAAAAACAACAACAGTAAAATAAATCCCAAATGTTCTGGCAGAGTCATCATCTCAAAATTCCTTGGTAGTTAAAACCATAATATTGTATGCAGTTGTGTGATTTTAAGCTCATGAATTTAGATTAGACTGTAGAATGACTTCAGGGAAGTAAAGTACAATTGGGAGAGTATTTATATAAATAATTTGCAAAGAAGGACAGGATGGCCAGCAAATTTAGGATTCTTTATATGGGAGAATTACATATGGAAATGGAAAACTTTCAATCTCTATGCTTAATGTAGTCAATGCATCTGAGAGTGAAACTCAAATGTAATATTATTTTCTAATATAGTACAGTAAAAACAATCCCCAAGAAGATGACATCACTATTTATAAGTGCACTTTGTAGAACAGTATAGAGTACCAGCCACTACAAATATATGTTTTACATACTCTTAAAAGCTATTTTCTATACAAATATTTCCAGAGAGCATAACAAAGTACATAAGAGATAGATCTGAACTGACATAGAAAGATTGGGAGCACATGCATATTTGAAATATTTCAATGGCTTCTCTCAGTTACATCTGGCAATTCAATCTTTATCATAAAGCAGAATTAGGGGGACCCAATTTTACAGGGAGTGGGCAAAATGGCATAATTGTCAAGATGAAATTGCATCACATATCTGCCTGCCTGCCTATCATCATACAATGTATTTATAAATTAATTATATACATAATTATATACATATATAATTATATAATTATATACATATATATCATTAATTATATACATATATAATATATATATTATATATTGTATATATACCAGTAATTGTTTTCTTATTTTGGATAGAATTATCCTAGCAATGTAAATTACTCAAATCAAACTATCTTTTTTTGGTACAATCAAAGAATAATATTTAGGCCATAAGTAGCATTTTCTAAGCACATCTCTCCCTCTCCCCCCCCCCAAAAAATTAGGCCCTCACTGGGAATTGCTTTTTAATAAGTATGTTTTATCAACTGTGATATAAATTGCAATCTGGTGGCAAGGTTTAGTCTATATGAACCTTTTCTCCTATCATCACGACATCTGACTCAGAAGCACACCACCTACTCCCCAGCCAGTATTTCTGAAGAGATTTTAACCTAGTATTCATTTTTTCTCCAGACTGGCCTTTGTGACATTTTTTCTCCACTCTGCCTTTTTGAAGGCCGGTGTCTATGTTCCATTGTGAGATTGTAATCCATCATGGAGTTATAGCTCTTTCAATGAGTTTGGAAATCCAGCTGTTCTCAACTAAGGGTCTCCACAAGGGAATAAAGAAAAAAAAGATGGCACCCAGGGCACTGAGCAACCCTACCCCTTATTTACAATAGTGTTGCTTTGACTTTTTTGGACCTCCCCCGGCCCTGTGCCTCTGGGCTCGGCAGTTTTATCTCCTCTGAGGACAATAACAGGATGATGGAAGGAAATAAAGAGAAGGAAATAAAAAGCAAACAAGACCATGCACAGCATAATTGGAGCCAGGAGAGTTGCTGCAAAGTATGCATAATTATGTTTTAATTTTAATTCTTGCTTCTGAACAAATTTGAATATTTTTAGGAAATTATTAGTTAAGCATCGATCCTGCCAAGATTTGGCTAATGATTAAAGATTAAAGTAATTAAAAGATTAAAAGATTAGGTAATTTTATCATGTGCCAACTTCAGAATAGTCTTAGAGTACAGTTTGTATTTGTATTTTATTATTTGTATGCCGCCCTTCTCCGGGAGGACTCAGGGTGGCGAACAATTCAAGGGGGAAAAAAGGGGGAACATAAAAGACAAAATACAAATAATAAAAGTAGACAACAGTTGCACAACCATACATGTCGAGAGGGGAGGGAACTTATCACCCCCAGGCCTGCCGGCAAAGCCAGGTTTTGACGGCTTTTCGGAAGGCCTGGAGAGAGGTGAGGGTCCGAATCCCTGTTGTTTTATTTTTGTACCCCCCCCTTCCCTTCTTATTGTTAGCCGCCCCGAGTCTTCCGGGAGGAGGGCGGCATCCAAGCTAAATAAAACTCAAACTCAAACTCAGAAAAACAGAATATCTGTGCAAGATAAAAACAACAGTAGTCTTTCTTATCCTAGAAGCAACTGATTTGGTAGGCAGCTCATGTGTCAACAGCATCTACAATTGTCCAAGCATCAACTTTCTTAATTTGCATCATGTATTCAAAGAAAAGGGGTAGGGGGACAAAAGGAAAAAAAAAAACGAAGAGAGGTGGAATGAACTTTCAAAGTTTATGCTCGAGGATAAGAATCCTTTCAAAGATTACTTACCTACTGGTGACATCTCAGGGACGTTGGCAATGTAAGGCCCATCCAGGAATTTTGGTTCATTATCATTAATGTCCTGCACTTTGATGATGAACTCTGATTCAGGCTCCAATGGCTTCCTTGTGTCAATGTCT